GAACCTGATTCGGGCAGAAATTATGAAATTATTGGTATTTGAAAAATCAAAAATTGTGGAAAATATCATTTTTTCAACGTTCTTGTTTATTAATTTATGTGTAATCATTAAACTATTATTACCATCTTATAGAATATATAAAAACACATTTTTTAGACCAAGATTTAATGATTTTTAACCCTTTTATAAAAAGTAATTCATATATTTCAATTATTATTATTTCTATGAGGAAGCAAAGTGTTCATGAAATGAACACCGAAATGAACACCAAAATTATAAAAATGTACAACTTGGCAGCGGTTTTTATTATTATCTCGAAAATATGGGTATTTTTTTATCGCTAAATATTTTAACTTATACCTATAGTTCTCTGGATTGTAAAATGGTGTTGTAGACCCATTTTTTAATTGTTATAAACAAATTATATAAACAAATAGACATTTTAGACGATGGGTTTCAAAAAGCTTAATGAAACTCGTTACTCGGGGGTTTTTGGGGTCGCTTATTACGAATATGACGTTACTTTTTCAAAATTCAAAATGGCGGATCCAATATGGCGGACGACTTTTCTAAAAATCGCTCAGATTCGTCTGAAACTAGTTACTTGGGGGTTTTCGGGGTCTCTGATTACGAATATGACTTCACTTTTTCAAAATTCAAAATGGCGGATCCAATATGGCGGACGACTTTTCTAAATATCGCTTAGATTCGCCTGAAACTCGTTATTTGGGGGTTTTCAGTGTTGCTGATTAAGAATCTAAAATCAGATTTTTAAAATTCAAAATGTCGGGAACAGTCAATCAAATAACTGATAAAATCGCATTAAAGACAATTCAATTTTTGGAGCCCTGAGAAGGGCTGATTGAAAGCTGATTAATTTTTTTGTGTTAGAATTCATTATTTATTAAAAGAAAGATCTAACAATTTGATACCTTCTTTATCAAGACTGATCTCATTTTTTGTCAAGTTGTATCGATAGGAATATAAAAATGGATCAGAAGATAAAAGAAGTTTATGAAGAAGATCTTTATTCGTTTCGAGACGACCACATTTTCGAGTGTTATACTCGCGGAACCTTTTAAAATCTTTATTTCGCGCTTCTTGCGCTTCTTCGGACAATTGTCCAATAGGTATCAAGAACAATTCAATTACTTCAGCACCATGAAACAGAATTTTATGAAGTGTTGCAGGCATATAATACCAATTATACAGTTTTACGTATAACTCAGCTGTTTTGAGAGAATAAATTTTGTATTTTGCGGTATTCACTTTAAGCCCACAACTTAAAACCTGTAAAATAATTAAAAATCGTTGAATAAGCTCTAAATCAATTCCAGTAATTTTTGAAGTTAATTCAGGATCTTGAAAAAATCGTCGTGCAGTATTTCCGTCGTTTGAAGTTCCAGAACCCGGCCTAGGCATATCAATTATTAAGCCCATTTCTTTATGAAAAGCTTGTTGTATTCTTTCTTTGGCGACTTTGACTTTTGATTTATTTTCATCGCCTGATACTGACCAAATTTTAAGTTCTAAACGATAAGCAATTTTAAGTAAGCATTCCATTAAGTTTTTCTTTGCATGCAGTGTTGACAGACCATACTGAAAATTTTCATCATTAATATATTTCTCATTGACTCTATTGAAATTGTTCATTTCTGTTGGGTTAGCCTTACAAATATAACATGTTGCAGCTGATAGAGTTTTAGAAAGATTTTGGCAAACTTTACCGTCAACCATTGTTAATAACATTTTGTAATCAACTAAAATTCGAAAATCTTGTATTGAAATCTTCAGTGGTATGAGTCGATCAATTTCCCTTTTCAAAGCTTTCTACTTCGCATAAAGTTAATTCCTTGGTTTCCTTCGCATATTGAAATCCTATTAGAATGCATAATTTTGTGGAACCAGGATAAGGATTTTCCCAAATAACATTAGCAGATCCTGATTGAAGTTTTAATGGCACTATTGATATCATGAAAATACTTCCATCTGACTTCATATTTTCAGGAAGCTTTTGTTTATACTTACTTTGATCAGATGCTCCATCGCATCCATACTTGAGTACAAGTGTTAACGATTTATTTTTCCGTCAGTATGTTTTTTTTACCTCTGAAACCTTAAGCAAACGCGAAGCAGTGTGATCTAACAATTCTTGGAGTTTAATACGAGCACTTTGTTCAGTGATAATAATCGCTTCTGCAGGAGGATAACATTCTTTTTTGGCTTCCGCAAGATTAAAGTATGGTTTAAAAATATCCGCACCTTTTGATTTAGCTTGCAAACGAATTAATTGATATTGAAGTCTACTTAATTTTGCATCTTCAATTAAAGCAAGACATTCGTTATCAGTAAATGAATCAACTAATACTTTTTGAGTTTCGACTTCACAACCATCTTTCAACAAAAGTAAAGAAATTTCATTTGCTAATTTTCTTCTTCCTGAGGCTCTTAAATTGGAAAGAAAAGTATTTTGAATTTCACTTACACTATAAGTTTCTTGAATCGTCTGTATTTTTCTCCGTTTCGTTGATTTAGAGCTCTCTTCAAAATCATCTTTACTTTTTCTATCAACTTTAATAGATTTTAATTCAATAGTGTTTGAATTCAACCAATCAATATTGTTTTTCTCAAAAGTATCTTTTCGATAAAAAGAAGAAATCCATTTCTTTTTAAAATAAGGCAGAAAATACCTAGCTAATTTATCTACAACAGATGTAATATGTTTGTCATCCACATTACATTTTTCTTTAATAAAATTCAAAAAATTATCTGCTGTTAATTCTTTATAATAACACTAATCGTAATTTCGTATAGCTTTTTTACAGGTAAACTAACCGAATCCATTTTTAAATTAAAAGAAAAGCAGCGAACAAGATTTAATTCTTACCGCAACTAATTTTTACCAGATAGTATTATATATATATACTATCTAGTATCTTGCATCTACTTATTACAATTATAATATATAAATTAATCTAAAAAAAATACAAACTAAAAATAAATTTACAAAAGAAATAATCAAATATAATAAAAAACGATATGCAAAAAAGTGTTATAAAATAAAAATTTTTAAACTGTTTCAAAAAGTAGTTTTTAAAGAAACTAATTTCAATGAGAATCCTCAGACAAAGAATATAGCACTTACCTTAAAAAAGGGCATAAATTTTGTACAGTTTCTAGATATACTGTTTCTCGTACTTATATATTCTTCAACTCATGTCATTATTATTAGGAGAGATTCTCAAAACTAAAACATCGACACCTAGCGGTAGCAAAAAGAATTATAATGTAAACCGCGCGAATTTTTAAAAGTAATTTATTACGAAAAATAAGTAAGAATTGCATATATCCATCCGTCAATTATTTATTATTATTATTATTATCATTCATATTATTAATTTATTAAATAATAATAATAACAATAACAATAATAAAATTAATAGTTAATATTGGCGTATGTTACAATTACTTAAATAAAATAAAACTTTCATCAATAATTTTATTAAGTTATATTAAATAATTTATTAATTAATAAATAACAAAAAACGAAGAACTTAATTTAATTTTTTAATAATAAAGTAGTAAATAAATTAAAATAATGTTTTAAACAATTATTTAATTACTTAAATTTAAATTAATTAAATTTTTTTGTTATTTTTCATGAATCCAAAAATTTTAAAAAAAATTTGTCCGCCATATTGGATCCGACATTTTTAATTTTGAAAAAGTGAAGTCATATTCGTAATCAGAGACCCCGAAAACCTCCAAGTCACTAGTTTCAGGCGAATCTGAGCGATTTTTAGAAAAGTCGTCCGCCATATTGGTTCCGCCATTTTGAATTTTGAAAAAGTAACGTCATATTCGTAATCAGCGACCCCAAAAACCCCCAAGTAACGAGTTTCATTAAGCTTTTTGAAACCCATCGTCTAAAATGTCTATTTGTTTATACAATTTGTTTATAACAATTAAAAAATGGGTCTACAACACCATTTTACAATCAAGAGAACTATAGGTATAAGTTAAAATACTTAGCGTTAAAAAAATACCCATATTTTCGAGATAATAATAAATATGTAAAAAAGTGCGTTTTTTCAATTGTTTATACAAATTTAAATAATTATGCAAATTAAAAATCAAAAATTGGGCTCGAGCGACCTCTTAGCAATTTAATCAAGATTATTTAGAAAAAAGAAAATCTAAAATCGGTTAAGATTTGTAGACTCTAAGTTATTTTGAACCCTACTTTTCAATTTCAAACCACTGTGGGGCCGACCAAAAAATCGCACCTGGGTTATTGTATGAACATTTTTTTTTAATTAATTAACAAGTACACATTTTTAAATATTATTTATTAAAAATAGGCCTCTAGTAATCGATGCTGTATTAAAATAGCTACAAGATTTGTTCTATGGTAAAAATATTTCATGCTACCATGTATTATTTTTGTCCTATGGTAAAATTGAACGCCATTTTCAAGTTATTTCATAATTATGTTCGAACGCCCTGTTGTCAGCTATCCAAAAGCGCTATTTTTAAGAATGGAGGATAAAAAAATTCTTTTATGTATAATTAAATATTTTCAACAATATTTGTTTTATCCTGAGTAATCCTTTAAGAATTTTATCCTACATGGTCACACGAAAAATTTTATGTAAAGGTATAAATACAAAAGGTTTAAAAGTAAAAGTACAAGACATAAAATCTAATCTGAAAGGTCAAATCTGAATGATTCCAAATTTTAAAAGCTACAAAAAATTTAATTTTAAAGAAAGTGAATGTAAAAGTAGAGTGAAAATGAAGTTTTAGAGAAAATGGAAGTGATAGTGAATTTTAAAGTGAATGTAAATATGAAAGAGGAAGTGAAAATAAAATTTCAGTGAAAGTGAAAATAAAGGCAAGTAAAAGTGTAAGTGTAAGTAAAAGTGAAATTACGTAATCGACTCCCAGTTTGTTAAATTCAATATTTATATTTTATTACAAATTTAGTATATAATACGTACATTCCATAAGTTGTCAGTAATCCAAGATTGATTATTTTCTTTAAAGGTATTTGCTGGAGGAGCCATTAAAAAGTCCCATAATCCATCGAGAGATTTTACCTATGGCATAAATTAACAATTTTACTTTATGCAATTATAATACTAATAATGAGAATTATCATTAATAAATAACATTAATATCAAAAGTTCATGTAGTGTGCTCTATAACTTAAATAGACATTTCAACTCAATTTTTTCTTTTTATTATCAAAAAATTTATTGAAGTACATGTATAGACTTCCTTACAAATAATACAGCAAATAATAATTATAAATTACAGAAAAACAAATAAAAATATTAAAGAATAAATCTCAAAGTGTTTTTTCCTAGTGTTTCATTTCGATCCAAGAATTTCATTTTTTGAGCGATTTTGTTCGTTATCGTCTTTGTTTTTCGAACGATCATCTCGTTTATTCTTTTGTTAATTGTCAAATCGTATCGTCTAATTTTGTTAGTTCTCATCGATCGAACTTCTCGGATATCTGTTAAGACTGACAGCTAAAAATAAATGTTAATTATAACCTTGTAATGATATGATTTTTATTTGCTACGGAATTCGCTCGCCGGATGGAGTCCGGGTACCTATAGTAGTTTCTTTAACTAATAATTAGTAAATATTAGGTTGAGCATTACGTAATTATGATTTCTGCTGTGAATTCGAGGAGAGGTGTAGACAGTAACGAGTCCATATTTAAACCTTCGAAAGTAAATATATTGTAAATCAAAAGAAAATATTTAACAAATTATAAAAAGTAATTAAATGTAAGAAAACAATAAGTGTGAATATAAAAAAATATTTAAATTAACTTTAACTAATTAACATTTATTTTTGTTGCAAGTTAATTAAAAATAATTATATTATTCCCCAATAGCACTGAATGTTCCATTCCTATTCCTGGAATATTCCATTGGAACATTGGGAATATTTTAACAGAATGTTCCTACTCTATTCCAGAAACATTTTAATGTCCCACGTTTGTAACATTCCAATGGAATATACTAGATATATTCCCTTGTCATATTTAATACTTTCATAAAATATGGTATAAATATTTCTGTGGAATATACCGGAAATATACCTCTTGAATATTTTGAGTATATTCCTCTAGAACATTCCAGGTATATACCAGTGAAATTTAACGCAATATTCTTGTGGATTATACCAGCAATATAATCCAGGAGTATGCCACGAATATTTCTTGATGTTCCTGAATTTTTCCTTTAAAAAAGTAATAAAATTTAATATTTTACCCTCCTCCGTATCTATGATTTATAACTAAATATTTTTTATACTGAAATATTGAATAACAATTAAAAAAATGTATTACTTATTAAATATAGAGTTTTTTCTCGAATTTTATTGATACACATGAGTATTTAGATATATTTTTTATTTTAAAGTTCAGTCACGGCGTAACAATATTATTAACAATAATGAAATATATTAAATAATAGTAAATGAAAAACTAATATTTCAACTTATTTGTAAACTACAAGGGCAAAATAAGAATTTGAAATAAATTTAAAACATCTAGAATATGTTTAATCATTGAAAAACTAATTTCAATTGCGTATTTGAAGTTACTTATTAATAATATACTATAATGAACAAATAATTTGAAGTTTATGAATTGAAATTATTTAGTGTAAAATTTGTATTTTTTTTTTAGTTTTTTGTATTTGTAAATTATAATTATTATAAATTGAGAATATTTCAAATGAATAAATTGTTAATTCTTAATAAATAAAATTGTTCAAATTATTCATTCTTCATTGTCTCCATCTTCATCTAAAGAGGACTGATTTTGGGAATAAGTATCTTCGTCTTTTGAACCCTCTTCACTTGAATTCTCTACCACAATCTCTTTATTCCTTTATATAAAAATTAATGTAATAATTGTTTATAGTATAGATAATAATATAAAATGTTATTAAATTTTTTTAATGATTTTAATATTATGAACTTTATTAATAAACATTTTTATTACTATTTTCGTACTAACATTTCTCTATCCAGTCTTTTTTTAACTGCAGCAAACCATTTGGAAGTAATAGTAGAAATTTCTTGTTCTGTAGCTACTGGTTTGTTTACTCGAACTGCAGCTAAAAGTAATTCAAATTAAATTAGAACTCTGTTATTAAATTTGGTTCACGAATTATAAGTAATATTTCATTAATCTACGTGTGTATAAAAAATTAATTTTAGAACAGAAAAGAAAATAATTTAAAAATTCGCAGCTTTGAGAAAATGAAATATTCAAAAAAAATTGTTATATGGGATTCTGTATTAAAAACCATATAAGATCCTAAAAAGATTTAATTAAAAAAATTTCAGTACGGATCTTTAGCATATTTTAAACAGTTATTAATATTAAATTTTAACAGAATACAGAAATCATTTCACTAGAAGTATTGAAATATTTATGTGTAATTATTTACCAGTCAGTAAATTGACAAACATTGTATCTTGCAAAGCCACTTTTGGCTTCTTACGACCGGACCAACTGTAATTTACGGCCACTGAATTTTTAACCAATTTTACACAAATGTTGTTTATTATATTTGTTAGTCCTCTTCCTCCAATTTTGCCACACGCTTTAGTCTACATTAAATAAAAATAAGTTTTAGTGACTAATAATATCATTCATTAGTGGTAATTCAAGTTAAATTCCATTTTAATATTTTCATAATAATTCCATTCCATAATTTCATTTTTAATAATAAACTTACAACTTGTTTCAAAAAAGCTTTGTCTTTGAGTTTCTCATTGAATTCATCAAATTTTTCTTTTGTCGATATTGGTAATTCTGGACATTTTTCTGATTCAAAAAAGTTATCGCAACTATCTGATGATGGGTTTTAAGGCAAGTCATCGAGGCGCATGTTTATCATTTTATGGGAAATCAAAACTTCATTCACTTTATTTAAAATAATTCTTTCAAACTCCATACCAGTGTTCTGGTCACGCAAAGCCATACTTGACAGTGATTTTTCCATACTCATTTTCTTCTTTATGTTATTTCCTTTATTTTTCTCCGTAGAATTTCTTACTAAAAATTAATTTTTTCACAATTAACTAATCGTTAAGTCATTATATTCAAATTAATACCATTTTCGTTTTTCTTCAAAGAATCTGAATTTTTTTCTTTTGAATGAACCGGTTTCAATGTGTTATCTGAACTCATTCTCATTGAGTTTTTGTCAGAAGAATCTGCTCTTTCGACTCTTAGATTATCTATGGCATCTTTAACAATAAAATTATTTATTTACTTTTTACAATTGATTATTTGAGAACAACATTTTAAAAATATTTTATTTCATTCAATTACCAATATTTTCTAGGTTTTCTTCATTGTTTTTCATGCATTTATTCTTATGTTCAAATGTATCCATCCCTGGATCTGTTTATATTTTAAAGTAAAATGTATATTAATTTTAACAAATTAATAAGATTTTTTATAAAGTGAATAAAGACCTTTTGATATTTTTCTTTTTCAAAAGTATTGCCTTGGTGTTCAATTTCTTCATACTCTTGTGTGTTTCTTGCCCGTTTGAAAGATAATGGTAAAGATAACGAACTGCAGGCAGCAACGTTAGAAATTATTGTTGGTTTCCCTTTATTTTTGTCCTTTGTAAAAAGAATTCGTATGGTAAATTTGACGTTTAAAAGTATTTTTTCGCAAAATATTTAATAAATTAATAATAAATATTTTTATTTATAATTAATAATAATAATTAATAATAAATAATTAATAATAATAAAAATAATAATAAAAATAAAATTAATTAATAATAAATAAAATAAATATTTAAATTTTGTTGAATTAAAAATATTATTAATATTAATAATAATAATATTATATAATATTAATAAAATTGTTTAAAAACCGTTTTATAAGAATATTGATAATAATATTTAGAGGCCTTTTACGGTTTTAAAGATGTTCGTTTATTACAAATAAATTGCTATAAATTGCTACAAGTTTCGACTTAATTAAGTCCTCATCAGGCAAATTTTAAATCTTAAAACTTAAAACGAACATAAGCAAATGAAAAACACATCTGTAATGAAAATCATTATAAGATATTAATTGTCACCAAAGAGAAAAAATTTGAAAAAATTTTGAAAAAACAAATTAAAAGAGAAAAAACTCACCTTGTGTTCAATCACATTAATAATCATATAACAAAAGGTTAAAATTTAAAAATTTCCCAAAAACCATGATGGTAAAAAAGTCCATGGTAAAAATATTCATGGCAAAAGCCATTATATTAAAAATCATAGTGAACGTTACAATGATCACCATGTGAGAAACATTCAAATTTTTAGGTTAATTTAAAAAACCTCCACAGATTAAGTTTAAAAATGATAAAGTAGGAATTATATATATTATATATCATATATTACGTTAAGCGGGAATTTAATTTAATTTAAATTTAAAAAATATATTTATTTTAATTTATTTATTTTTAATGTAAAGATTGTATTAATGGAAAATAAATTTTACTTAGTTTATCAATATCTGTATAAAAATTAACATGATTAGATTTGTTATTTTGAATATGTAACATTTCTAGATGTTTTCTTTTAAATTCGTTAGTTTCTGTATCCAAAATTTTTACATTTTTGAAATCAAAAGAATGTTTAGTATCATAAACATGAGTAGACAAACCAGTATTTTTTAATTTACCAATTATGTCTCTTTCATGCTCTTTGATTCTATTAAATACGTGTCTTTTAGTTTCGCCAATGTAATCCTTCAAACAATTCCCACATTGAATTTTATAAACACAATTAACGTGATCAAAAACAGAAAGCCTGTCCTTAAAATTATGTTGAAAGATATTATTATATAAAGTATGATCAATAGAAAATATTAAATTATATTTAAAATTCCTTTGAAAAGTTCTCTTTAGTATACAATCAAAACCTTGTACATATGGAAAAACGAAAAAATGCTTTGGTATAGAATCATCATTATTCGAAAAATAATGTTTTGGATTTATAATTTTTTTATAACGTGAATTTATTTTATCATCTAATAATTTTAATGGAAAAC